AGCCCCCTTCTCAAAATACTTCAATCGGTACACGCAAAAAATAGGCCAATTCTGAAGCTTTTTTTTTCAATTTCTCCCGGGGTGAAATTCTCATTAGTACGAGTCAAAGGAATAGCCCTCTGGCCTCGGATGTCCATATAAAGGACACGACGAGCATAAATACCTTCTTTCACTTCTATTCGAATAGACCTTATATCTTTTATATTGAATCGGAGGAAAATGCGCCGATTTATTCCAGGGAATCCCCAACGAAAAATACAAAAAATTCCCCTTTTTCTATCGAATTGATCATAACCACTACCAACATTCCATAAAATAGTACACCACAAATACGAGCTAATAAAAAGACCCGCAATTCCGTAGAATGACATGACTATTCCTTGTGGGAAAAAAAGAATTTGCTGGGCTGAAAAAAAGGATATCCAATTTATACCAAGATAACTGGAAGTTCCTACTAATAAGAATCCCAATGAACCTAAAAAAAGAGTAAAAGCCCAACCTAAATTACTTATTTTTCTAGACCCAGGTCTAAGTTCGATCCATATATGTTTTGATTGCCAACTCATATTACATCCGATTTTATTTTATTTTATTGGAATTAAGAAAAAAAACCATTAATTAGGAACTTTGCTATTTCAAAAGTAATTCTCATCAAACGAATATTTGTTTGATGAGAATCTAGCACTAGTTTGATGTAAACCTTTAGGGGTAATTCATAAACTTGGTTAGATAGAAAAAAATAACGCCTTAAGTCAATATGATTCCACAGATCTTCCTGTTATGATACAAAAAAAAGCAACTTACAAAAAAGGGAGGATCTCAATATATAAAATATCTAAAAATTTTTATTTTTCTTGAACAGTAATAAATAAATAAAACGTTGCAATTGCCGGCAATACTAAGCCTACTAATGGTATAAAAAGAGACGGAAAGTCACTCATAGAAAAGGTATTTTTTTTACTATATTTATTTGTATCTGTGAGTTTTTATCTAACTATTTATATCAATCTAAAATCAATATAATTATTTTCTTTCACTCAAAGTTCAAATGAATTTGAACTTTGAATGAAAGAAAGTGCCCCGGTCATGAAACGTAAATAACTCACTAATAACGCTTTTTAGAAGATGACGTGGTACAATTAAGTCAAATGAACCCTTCTCAAATAAAAATTCAGCTTCTTGTGCCTCGTCAGGTATGGTTTTGATTTAATGTTTGTTCAATTACTCTTTTGCCTGCAAATGCAATGTAAGCATTAGGTTCAACAATGATAATATCCCCTAACATACCGAAACTCGCTGTTACTCCACCAGCTGTAGGAGATGTAAGGATTGATATATAAAAATAATCTTTTCTTCGATTGATAATTGTATAAAGCAGATGATATTTTAGCCATTTGCATCAAACTTAAACTTCCTTCTTGCATTCGCGCACCCCCGGACGCCGACACTATAATCAGAGGCAAAAAATTTTCTGTAGCGTACTCAATTAAACGGGTTATTTTCTCTCCGACTACGGATCCCATACTACCCCCCATAAACTTAAAATCCATAACCCCTATTGCTACAGTAATACCGTTGACTTGGCCTAGACCTGTTTGAACAGCTTCGGTTAAGCCTGTTTCTATTTGATAAAAATCAAGATCCTCTTCATAAGAGTTTTCATAATTAGAAAATACTTGATAAAAGTATTTAGAAGGGTCTTTATAAGGGTATTCCGACGATTCTTCAGAAGAGTCTTCTGAAAAGTCTTCATAAGGGTATTCCAACGATTCTTCAGAAGAGTCTTCTGAAAAGTCTTCATAAGGGTATTCCGATGATTCTTCAGAAGAGTCTTCATCAAATTGAATGGGGGTCCCGAGAAAGAATGTCTTCATCGAAAGGAGCCCACGTTTTCTCATCGATCAAAAAATCAATTCTATCTGAACTACTCAGTTGCAAATAATCTCCACATTCTTCACAAATATACTGTTTTAATTTAATAAGTTTTTTATAATATAATGTATCACAATTTTCGCATAGAAGCCACAAATGGTTAAATTTAGGATATTCTCTCCCAATGTGAGTTTGTCTACTTGAACTCTCGACTTCGCTCCTATTGCAGCTTTCACCATCAACAACGGACTCATTACTGAAACTGTCAGTACTATCATTTTCATTAGTAGTGATAGTAGTTCGCTCTATTTGCAACTTAATAGAATTTTCAACGGACTGAGCAATCTCAATCTGAGAGTTAGATTCGTTACTCACTTCATTCATTTGAGTGAGATTGCTTGAATTCGAAGAAAGATAAAAAGGTTCACTAAAGAAAGAGTGAGGATTTTTTGTTTCAAAAATATAATTTTCAATATTAAAATAGATGCAATAATTATTTCCAGTACTATCGCTAACTAGAAAAGTGTCATCTTTGATGACACTTTCACTATAGTTTAACTCGAAGACAGAATCAACATTACTGCAACCGTAATTGTCACGATCCTCCCAAGTCTGAATGTTTTCAAACATATCTTGCTTCTTCGTATCTTCATTTTGCCTGCTATTTTCTTCAATAGGACGGCTAACACCATCCATTGATTGAGTTAGCCCCCATCCACGTTCAAATTTCTTATCCAATGAATTATCCCCCCACATTTCCATAATTTTTGCCCCTTGTTTTTTGCATGAAAATACAATGCATGAAAATACAATAGAAAATAAAATAGCAATACATGGAATAGTCGTTTGATATAAAATATTCCTAAACTCAAAATAAAAAAACACAAGTTCTTTTTGAACAACTATCAGAATAAAAAGAGAAACCCAAGCATTAAGGCTATTGCCTAAAATAATGGGTATGAGTATCCAAAAATGGAATTGCCTTTTATATAACTCTACCCCAATTACCAAATTTAACTATTTGTTCTTGCCTACCTATACCCAAATATAAATAAGAAGTTCATTAATATGTATAGATATCCGGCTCAATCTGTTTACTTTTTTTAGTATTTGAGTGATTTTAGTAAAAGATTGGGCCGAATTTAATTGCAATTCAGAAGAGAAGGGGGTTAGTAATTGCTTGAATTCCCTCTACCCATTCCCGAATAAGTTATCTGTATTTATCTCCTGCAGGAGCCTCCTTAGTATATCTTTCTTTCTTCTCATTTGGATCTAAGGTATCCACTGGTTTAAAGTCAAATTGAATCTCCTTCCATACCTCACAAGCAGCAGCTAGTTCAGGGCTCCATTTACTAGCCTGTCGAAGAATTTCATTGCCTTCCTGAGCAAGATCATGTCCTTCGTTACGAGCTTGTACACATGCTTCGAGAGCGACTCGATTCGCTACGGCACCAGGCGCATTACCCCAAGGGTGACCTAAAGTTCCTCCCCCAAACTGTAGTACGGAATCATCCCCAAATATCTCGGTTAGAGCAGGCATATGCCAAACGTGAATACCCCCAGAAGCCACAGGCATAACACCGGGTAAAGAAACCCAATCTTGAGTGAAATAAATACCACGACTTCGGTCTTGTTCAACAAAATCATCGCGTAATAAGTCAACAAAGCCCAAAGTCATCTCTCTTTCCCCTTCTAGTTTACCTACTACAGTACCCGCGTGAATATGATCTCCACCGGATAGCCGTAACGCTTTCGCTAGTACGCGGAAGTGTATACCATGAGTTTTTTGTCTATCAATAACTGCATGCATTGCACGGTGGATGTGAAGAAGGAGACCATATTATCACGGCAATAATGAGCCAAAGAAGTATTTGCAGTGAATCCCCCTGTTAAGTAGTCATGCATTATAATAGGAACTCCCAATTCTTTAGCAAAGAAAGCTCTTTTTAGCATTTCTTCGCATGTACCTGCAGTAGCATTCAAGTAATGTCCTTTTATTTCACCTGTCTCAGCCTGGGATTTATAAATTGCTTCGGCACAAAATAAGAAACGGTCTCTCCAACGCATAAAGGGTTGTGAGTTTACATTCTCATCATCTTTGGTAAAATCAAGTCCACCACGAAGACATTCATAAACCGCTCGACCGTAGTTTTTAGCGGATAACCCCAATTTGGGTTTAATAGTACATCCCAGGAGAGGACGCCCATACTTGTTCAATTTATCTCTCTCAACTTGGATGCCGTGAGGCGGACCTTGAAAAGTTTTAGTATAAGCTGGAGGTATTCGAAGATCTTCGAGACGTAAAGCGCGGAGTGCTTTAAAACCAAATACATTACCTACAATCGAAGTAAACATGTTCGTAACAGAACCTTCTTCAAAAAGGTCTAAAGGGTAAGCTACATAAGCAATATATTGATCTTTTTCTCCAATAACACGCTCAATGCGATAGCATCGGCCCTTGTACCGATCAAGGCTGGTAAGTCCATCGGTCCACACGGTTGTCCATGTTCCAGTAGAAGATTCCGCAGCTACCGCGGCCCCCGCTTCTTCAGGGGGAACTCCAGGCTGAGGAGTGACTCGAAATGCTGCCAAGATATCAGTATCTTTGGTTTCGTAATGAGGAGTATAATAAGTCAATTTGTAATCTTTAACACCCGCTTTGAATCCAACACGTGCTTTAGTCTCTGTTTGTGGTGACATATATTCCTCCTTATAACTCATAAATTAATAATTCTGACAACAAAATGATCTACTCGACCTAAATTCTGCGTTAATTTTGCTTTTGGTCGGAATCGTTCACAAAATTCCTCCCGAGTACTCAATATTATCTATTATCAACTAAATCATAATTTTTTATTTTTAAACTCAAAGCATTTGAGTAATTTTTCAAATGCATCAATATTTTATACTCTTTTGTATATCTAGTGCAACCCAGTTTTTCAATTTCACTTTTTTTACACTACCTCTCTAACCTAATAAAAAAATCAAAAAAACTAATGGGATAGAAATAACAAATTCTAATGAAATACTTTTGAAATACTTTCCCAATATTTTTATTCCTCCACTTTAAAATAATTTAACTATTTCAGTTCCTTAATTCAACAAAAATTAAATTTATTAAATTTTAATTTATTGGATACTGGATAATATAAAAAAATACCAAGAAAATCCCCCCTTTTTTCTTATTACATTTATTGAATTAATCTTCCGCTTGCGGGCAGTGATTTGTAATTTGAAAAGTTTTTTAAATTTTTTTTTTATGGGAAGCACTCCTACGACTTCTGGTTCTGAGGTTTCCTCAATTGAAAAAAAAAATATAGGGCATATCGTCCAAATAATTGGTCCGGTACTAGATGTAGCTTTTCGCCCTGGTAAGATGCCTTATATTTATAATGCTCTAGTAGTTCAAGGGCGAGACAGTAAACAAACGAACGTGACTTGTGAGGTTCAACAATTATTGGGAAATAATAGAGTTCGAGCTGTAGCTATGAGTGATACAGATGGTCTAATGAGAGGGATGGAAGTGATTGATACGGGAGCTCCTATAAGTGTCCCGGTCGGTGGATCAACTCTGGGACGAATTTTCAACGTGCTCGGACACCCTGTTGATAATTTAGGGCCTGTCAATACTAATAAAAAATCTCCTATTCATAGATCTGCGCCCGCCTTTATAGAGTTAGATACAAAATTATCTATTTTTGAAACAGGAATTAAAGTAGTAGATCTTTTAGCCCCCTATCGCTGTGGAGGAAAAATAGGACTCTTCGGGGGAGCTGGAGTGGGTAAAACAGTACTCATTATGGAATTAATTAACAATATTGCCAAAGCGCACGGAGGAGTATCCGTATTTGGCGGAGTGGGTGAACGTACTCGCGAAGGAAATGATCTTTACGTGGAAATGAAAGAATCCGGAGTAATTAATGACCAAAATATTGCAGAATCCAAAGTGGCCCTAGTTTACGGTCAGATGAATGAACCACCAGGAGCTCGTATGAGAGTTGGTTTGACTGCCCTAACTATGGCGGAATATTTCCGAGATGTTAATGGGCAAGATGTACTTCTATTTATTGACAATATATTTCGTTTCGTCCAAGCGGGATCAGAAGTATCCGCCTTACTGGGCAGAATGCCTTCTGCTGTAGGTTATCAACCGACCTTGAGTACAGAAATGGGTTCTTTACAAGAAAGAATTACTTCCACCAAAGAGGGTTCCATAACCTCGATCCAAGCAGTTTATGTACCTGCAGATGATTTGACTGATCCTGCTCCTGCTACGACATTTGCACATTTAGATGCAACTACCGTACTCTCAAGAGGTTTAGCTGCTAAAGGTATCTATCCAGCAGTTGATCCTTTGGATTCAACGTCAATGATGCTGCAACCTCGGATCATTGGTGAGGAACATTATGAAACTGCGCAAAGAGTCAAGCAAACTTTACAACGTTATAAAGAACTTCAGGACATTATAGCTATCCTTGGGCTCGACGAATTATCCGAAGAAGATCGTTTAAAACGTGGCAAGAGCACGAAAAATTGAGCGTTTCTTATCACAACCTTTTTTCGTAGCAGAAATATTTACAGGTTCTCCAGGTAAATATGTAGGTCTCGCTGAAACGATTAGAGGATTTCATTTAATCCTTGCTGGCGAATTAGATGGTCTTCCTGAACAGGCTTTTTATTTGGTAGGGAATATCAATGAAGTTACCGCCAAGGCAATTAACTTAAAAACTTAGAAATTTAAAAATAGGGAAGGATTTGAATAAATGAATTTAAAACTTTGTGTACTGACCCCTAATAGAATTGTTTGGGATTCAGAAGTGGAAGAAATCATTTTATCCACTAATAGTGGGCAAATTGGAATATTACCCAATCACACACCTATTGCCACAGCTGTAGATATAGGTATTTTGAAAATACGCCTTAACGGCCAATGGTTAACGACGGCACTGATGGGGGGGTTTGCTCGAATAGTGAATAATGAAATCACTGTTTTGGTAAATGATGCTGAAAAAGGTAGTGAGATTGATCCCCAAGAAGCCGAGCAAACTCTTAAAATAGCAAAAGAGATTTTAAAAAAAGCTGGAGGAAAGAGACAAAAAATTGAGGCAAATCTAG